GGTTTCTTCCTCGTCACCACTCTTTGCCACTAGTGTCTCTTAATTGTACATGCATATCTTAAGTTTACATACATTTCTGTATGTGTGGGAAATAAAATAAATTCAAACTCAATCATCAAATAGAATTATATTTTGCCCTGATCATCGTCTTTAGTGTACAATGTACTGTATATGTGTGGTAAATTGAAAGAAATTGTCAATTTTGCCGGTTTTGCGAGATTTCAAATCCCTTAGTGAGGGTTTAATAAGGGTCCATTATTAATTTGTCTCATGGTTGTAGGCTGATCAAAAGAAATCGAAAGCAAAACTGTAGTGAATGTTTTCATTTAGCCCCATGCCACACCATCTACATGTAGCAGCTAGTGTTCTTGTCATAAATGACCTGCCTTTCCTCAACAACAGACTGTTATATTGAAGACCCAAGACCTTAGATCCAACACCTGGTAATTAAAAGCAAATTAAAGTTCTCATTCTAAGACCTTCACATACAAAATTTTAAGACCTCGAAAAGGAACATCTACAAATACTAAGACCCATAAAAAGAAACTTGAAAACTAATTAAATCCTGGGAAAACTAACCTTTAATGTTAGGGATGGCATGACTCATGTATAGCTTCACTTTCAACTGACGTCATTTGCAACCTTATATCAGTAGTGGTCAAACTCTTCTTAGATGAAGAAGCTGTCAGAAAGTAAATGTGAGGGAAGGAAATCACTTATATTGGCAGGGAGAATGGAAAAACAAAACAAACAAAAAATAATAATAATCAATAATAGTAATAAAAATAGGAAAGAAAATGACAACCAGAAATACATTGGTGTTATTACTTGGTTACACATCCAGTAGTTAAAGCTTAGCTTTGGTGGTCGGATAAGAAGCGGTTAACTTTCCTTGTGGTAACCATCTTAGACAAGGCTGACCTCTTGCCTTCGCGGTGTCACATCTCCTTATGTATTCTCTTACAGTTGCACATTGCACTATTTGTTAACAATGCTAGTGGGCTTTGACCTCATTTTTAGCCTCTGTAGTTGATAAAATTATCTAAAATTAATGAAATATGACCTACAGATTAAGAGCTCAGTTTGAATTCAGTGGCATCACAATTTCCACTTCTTAAAGAGGTCCATCCATTTTTTGAGTATAGTATATCTAAGTCATATAGCCTTATGTATCCATTGTCAAAAATATGGCGTACCGCCCTAGCTAGATCATTGTTATCTCTGAAATATTGGTTTGTTGTAAGAAACCAAGTATGCACCAGTATGCATTATCCTAAATTTACCAAACTGTCAAAACTAAGAGCTTTTTAAGGATCATAAGACATGCAAAAACTAAACATAAGAGCAGGAAGACCAACAGTGAGGGAGATTCAAAACTATAGGAGGTATTTACTTGGAAGTGTGTTAATTGCTGCATGTGCACACTGCATTGCCTCCATAACTTGACACTAATTAAGTTAAACACCAATTAATTCATTATTATTAATTCTGACATTGTCTTACCGGCCATATGTTCTTAACATACAAATCCTGCCATAACCCTTCAACAGCTTTTTGGGACAAGATAAATCTGTGTACAGTCAAAGTTCAAATGGCAAAAGTGCAGTTATTGATGCCAATCAGAATTTTTCAACCAATCACAGCATGGTAATCAGTGGGGTGACAAATTAAATGGTCAATATGACTGCTACCTGTTTTTNGTACCAGTATGCATTATCCTAAATTTACCAAACTGTAAAAACTAAGAGCTTTTTAAGGATCAAAAGACATGCAAAAACTAAACATAAGAGCAGGAAGACCAACAGTGAGTAGGGGGTATTTACTTGGAATTGTGTTAGTTGCTGCATGTGCACACTTGACACTAAGTTAAACATCACTTAATTCATTATTATTAATTCTGACATTGTCTTACCAGCCATATGTTCTTAACATACAAATCCTGCCACAACCCTTCAACAGTTTTTTGGGACAAGATAAATCTGTGTACAGGCAAAGTTCAAATGGCAAAAGTGCAGTTATTGATGCCAATCAGAATTTTTCAACCAATCACAGCATGGTAATCAGTGGGGTGACAAATTAAATGGTGAATATGACTGCTACCTGTTTTTCATATATGCAATGGGTGGCACAAGTGTTGAGACACTTGGCAGTACAATTCGATTTTTGAGGGTCTTGGAAACATTGTCCCCCTACCCCTCCCCCAACCCCCGCCACTCCCCGTCCCAAACAATGTTGATTTTTCTATTTCTTAGGCTGCACAGACCAGAGCACTTACACAACATTGAATTGGGGGGCCATGGGTATTAGAGAATTAATGCTAAGTGCAAATAAAATAGAATAAGTGGCTAAATGTCGAAAAGCGCCATTTTCTAAAACTGTCTCAACTTATTTTGTCGCCCAATAACTATAGCAAAACTACACTGTATGTGGATGGGAGTGTTTTTGCTGCTAAAAACATGCAACTAGGCTAGAGATAAGGTTTACTGCCCCTTTGTTGCATTGTGTTTAAGTTAACTTTGTCTATCATCAGTTATATTTAGAAGCATCTTAGAATCTCATATAAGTCTTTATCTTTCAGAGGACAAAACAGCGTTGAATGCAGTTCAACTAGAATTCAATGTTGAAAGCACTGAAATTATTTTCTGCTCCCTTGAAAATGGAACTGCCTACATAAGATGGTTCAATAACAAACATCAAGAGGTTAATTCTACATCTGGGACAAGGCTGACAGCAAACAGAGATAAACTGACCATTGAAAACATTCAGCTGTCTGATGGAGGAACCTATGAATGCAGGGGATTAGAGTACATCCGATACTACACCATCTATGTCAATGGTAGGCCAACTTATTTTTACTTGGTAGAATATCATTAAGTTTGACTATTCTGCTTCGCCGTGCATCTGTGTTTTTCTTGATGGCTGCATGTAAATGTATACAGTTTTTTGTTTCATTGACTTTTAGTGCAGAAGTCTAATTGACGGACCAATTTTTTGCATTCTGAGCAATTTCTACCTTTGGATCTGCTACAACTGAAAATAACGACACTCATAGAACTTGTACTTCACACGTTTATTCTTCTTTCTTCAACTTTGACGTAAATTGTAAATCATGGAGATGTAAATCGCATCATAATGATACGAGTACTTTACACTTATACTAGTGATTGAGGAACAAGATTGCATCATCTTAGGTACAATTGAAAGAAGGCTGAATAAAGTCAGCTTGAAACCTGAAAGTAGCCTGAATAAACTCAGGTACACAAAGCAAGCTTCAAGCCTAGCTAAATTCAGCTGATGAATGGTGATCCCAGCCAAGCTAGTTTCTCATATACACCTGCTATTTGGGTAAAGGTAAAGAATCCGATCCCACCGACGCGTCGGCCGACACATCACCGACGCGTTGGTCGACACACCACTGACACATCACCGACACACTACCGACGCGTTGGTCGGCACACTATCGATGCGTCGGCCAACACACTACCGCTATTTGTAGTCTCAGCCTAAAAAGCTCTGTTAGGGCAGCTTAGATTTGTATCTTCACCCTTGAAAGCTGTGTAAAGGCAGCTTTCATTTATATGTTCAGCTTAGAAAGCTGTGTACAGTCAGCTGCGTTTTCTTTTGCGAAATCAGGGACAATAAATTCATTCTATTTAACGCGCATACAAATTGTTATTTATCCAGGTGTAAGATGCAAAGTTTAATGAAAGTACAATATTTAGTGCACTATTTTTACAGGTCTCCAGCAAAGATAACTTCTAAACACCAAAAATCATACTTTTGTTTTTTTTGCAGTTTATGTGAACACTATAACCTTAATGAACCTATAAATTCTC